ATATATACTGATCGAATTGAGTAACCTCCTCCTTTTTCGAAGTCGGTTAAAAAGCATTAACTGTTGCTAAGTGTCTGTCCTGTCTCCTCCCCAATCTTCGTGGCTGTGGATTCACCAGTCGCTTGTTGTATTTCCGTGTTGTTGAATCAATTGTTCTGTACGGTGCTCCAGTTTAGTTTGAGGCTGTAAGTTATTCTAGTATCGTTACCCGTCTCCACTCCACCCAGCGTGTCAGTCTTATAGCTATCGTACTGTGTCTACCGCTGTCTTATGTGTGTTGTCCGGTTGTACCCCCTGTTGGTTTAAGCCACCTAATCGCCTGCCAATAGTTTATTTTTCCCCTCGCAAACTTTGCGATTATAACCTCTTCTCCCCTTTTCCTGTCCTTCTCCTTTCCCTCCCCTTTTTTCTCTATCCTAACCCGCTCATTTATGTCCCCCTCACCACCCTCCTCCCTTCCCGTTTTCTTCATTTTCCCTGTCTCCTCTGTTCCCCGCCTGTCATTTCTGTCTCCTCTCTTTCCCTCCCACCTTCCTCCTGCCTTCTCTATTCCCCTGTCGTCTGGCTTCTTCTCATCCGCTTTCTTCCTTTCTATCTCCTCCCTTTTGAGCCTACATTATATCCAAGTTTCATAAAAATCGGAAATTATTACTTCGAGATGGTCCCTTGTCAGTTCCACCACTATCCCTCACTGTCACCACTATTTTTCAGTATCACCCCTATCGCTCAGTTTCACCACCCTCCCTCAATTCGCGTACGAAAATTACATTACATTACTTTCTGCAACATCCGAATCAAATATATTGGAAACTTTTGCAGTGCGTGTACAGACAAAAAATTATTATTTAATATTTTTATAAGTATAGTTTTTTAGTAATTTATTTTTTAAGTGATTTAGTTTTTAAATTATTTAGTTTTTTAGTTATTTAATTTTTTGTGTTATTTAGTGTTAATTAGTGTTTTAGTATTAGTGAAACATTCAAGTGAAAATGAATGCAACGAATAAGAAAATCAGTGCAGATAATACTTCAAGTGCGAAGAAAAAGGAAAGAAGAAAATTATTCGCTTCAACGAAGATATACCCTCAAAAAAGAGGAAGTCCTTAAGGGCGACGTGGTTTAGGTGCTCTGAAAAGGAACATAGTTAATGTTGACAATGTACTCGGTAAGGAAAACGAATTTGCTGAGGAATATGAAAATCAGCCGTCAACATCCGACGGAAGGACATCCATGTTTTCACCATGGAAGGAAATCCCAGTAGCACAAAATGAAAGAAGTTCAAAAGAAACGATGTCAGTACAGATCTCACATGGCGAAAACGAAAATGATAGCTGGATCATAGAAGTCACTGTAACATCGTAAACGTGCAGCATATGTTTGAAGAGATGAAAAAAATAAGCCATGCATTATGTGCCACTACGAAGGGAAAATTCACAGTCAACCCGACGAAGTAGAGGAAATGGATGTAAACCGTAGCGCTGTAACTAGAACAATGCTTACTAGGGGTAGCTACGCGCAGATGGAAGAATTTTTGGCACCAATGAATACAGAATGCAAGAAATGATGGCAGCAGCTACAGTAGAAAGACGATTGGCTATCGAAAGAGGCGATGTTGTTCCACAATCTGAAATCCCACACATTTCTGTCATCGTCGATGTGAGTTGGATGAAAAGATTCTATCGCACCGGCGCGGCGTATATAACTCTGCGTCGGGCGTTGGTGTGATAGTTGGATATCACATCCGGAAAGTTTTATTCATGGGTGTGCGAAATAAAAGATGCATAATTTGCAAATGCGCTGCAAGAGATCAGAATGAACCACGAAAACACGTGTGTTTTAAAAATTGGAGCAAGAGTTGAGCATCCACCGCTATGGAAAGCGATGCAATTGTAGAAGGATTTAAAACCAGCGTGGAAAAGCGTGAATTAATTTATTCAACGCTAATCTCAGACGGGGATAGCAGCCTCTATAAAAAGATTCCAGACGCAGATCCGTATAAGACACACATTCGTGTAAAAAAAATTGAATGCACGAATCACTTATTACAGAATTTCTGCAGAAAAATGAAGGAAATCGTCAAAAAAACGACAGCAGGTACATTGAGAAAAGCTATGGAAAACAGCATTCAACGGATGCGAACGGTAATTGTAAAAGCCGCATGATATAGAAGCAATGAAAGTGTATCGACCTCCACAAAAATTACAAATTTATACTGTGACATTTATAATGTTCCAAGTCACATGTTTGGCGAACACGCAGAGTGTAATAAAATAAATCACTTCTGCGATGGAGAAAGCAAAGAGAATGAAACAAACATCGTTCCACAATTGAAGAGTATGGGAGTATATCAGCTAATAAAAGAAATACTTCAGCCATTAACAGCTTATGCAGAGAGCTTATTATACAACTGTAACAATAACACTGTGAAGAGTTTCAACGGCGTCCTTGCTAAGTCCATCGGTGGGAAGAGATTAAATTTTGGCCAAAGAGGATCGTACACGGCAAGATGTGCTGCTGCCGTGTTACAATACAACACGAAGGAACCACTTTCACAATTAAATAGAGTGATGAAAAAGAAATTGTCTATAATTACATCAATCATGGAAGCAAGAAGAAAGGAGAAAAATGAAAAAAATATTAAGAAACGAAAGGAAACAGATGTCGCGACACGCAAACGCAAACAATTCCGCTCTGAAAAAGATTCCGATTATGGAGCAAACGCAGCGAAACCGGACATGGATAATACTATTTATAAGTTGCAGCAAGAAAAACATATGGAGATGCTCCGTAATTGGCAAGAAAAGAAGGATGCTATTCAAATAGAAACAATTAGACAATCGAAAAATCCGCGATGGTACACCTACAAATCAAAACTTCTAGCGGCATCCAATTTCGCTAGTGTGTGCCGCCGAAGGGGTGGAACATTGTGTGGTAACTTGGTGAAAAGATTGATATATCCAAAGATCGTTAATGTGCCTGCAATAAAATACGGCAAGAGTGCGAGGAAGTTGCCCGTGAAGAATTAAAGAAATATATAGGAAAAGATATTAAAGTATCCGGAATCTTCATCGACAGATCCCATTCATTCATAGGGGCATCGCCGGATGGTGTCATCGATGAAGAGGGCATCATGGAAATAAAATGCCCCAAAATAAAAGATGCATAATTTGCGAATGCGCTGCAAGAGATCAGAAAGAACCACGAAAACACGTGTGTTTTAAAAATTGGAGCAAGAGTCGAGCATCCACCGCTGAGATGACGAACCAACTTGCTCAACTTACTCCCAACAACGACGGCAAATCTAAAATCAAAAGGGATACCGCCGTCAGGAAGTCGGCCTCAACTTGTCATTCGACAAAATCTACGACTTCTAGGAAATGCCCCTCCTGTTCAGGCACTCACGGTTTAATATATTGCGTCAAATTTAAATGACTATCTACGGCCAAACGCAAGGGACGCGTAGAGGAACTTGGAGTTTGTTACAACTGCTTGAACACCGGACACGATCAGTGAAAGTGCCCCCTTCTCGTAGCGGTGTTTTGCCTGCAGCAGACGACATCATACCCTGCTGCATAATGCAATTCCATCGAACCTCTCTCCAACAAGGATGGAGCAAAGGGCATCAACATCTGCAGACACCTTTCGCGTATACCCATTTGGGTGAGGTCGCATATCTGTGCTCGTCTTCGGACGGCCGGATTTACACTAGTCTGCAGACACCTCTGGCAATGGCCCTCAAGGGTGATGACGTAATGTGATTTCTGCCTAGTGCTCTGAATGTCAACGTGAAGAAATTCAATTAAGCGCGGGTAAACGGCGGGAATCAACTATGACTCGCTTAAGGATTATTGTTGATGACTAGGCATGCTTGGTTATGGAGTCACTACGTTTTTGAACCTTCGCTTAGGAAAATTAACCTATTAATTTCAATGATGAACAGACGACGATATAACCAAGCCTCGGACGCGGAGCTACCTTGTCCCGGGAGCACCGTGGCGGATTTATCCGCTCTGGAGGGGACCACTGGTAATGACTTAGCTATTAACACGGACAACGCTCTTGACATTCCTAAAATTACTGTACCTTTAACACAGGATCAAATCGCATGCCCTTTCTGTGCGAGGAGGGAAGTCCACCTCTTCTATCTTACACTCACAGACTTGGACAAACATTTTAACTCCCACCATCTTCAGAATGATGTTCTATAGGAGTGCGATAAATGTAAAAGATGCTTCAAAAAACTACATGGCGTGGATTGCCATATCCCAAAGTGTAAAGGCATGGATATGGCCGTTCCTAGCGCAGCTTTTCCATGCGAAGCGTGTTCAAGGTCCTTTAACACACAGAGAGGTTTGTCTATGCATGAACATCATGAGCATCCTAGCTTGCGGAACACAAAAAGACAAATTAATGCGTCAAAATCAACCGGCGCGACGGGCGCTGTTTTCAACAAATTAAAAGTGTGGACCGAGGAAGAAATAAAATTAATAATATAGTTAGAATAAGTATGTAAGTCGCATAAATACACCTATCCCCCGATTTACACGGTACTCGGTTTACACGATTTCACTTTTACACGGTTTTTAAATTTGCACCGGCCCGGAACGAGAAGATCCGAGATAGTTGACGAACGTGGTGAGCCCGCGCCAAAATCTTGGCGCGCTAAAAGGCATCGCGTTATTCAACTTTTCAGACGCGCCAGCCGAGGGCAGATAGGCAAACCGGAGGCTCGCCCCGACAGTTTCTCGTGAGTCTCTCGCCAGTCTTTCTCCGAGTCTTGTCCAAGAAATCGAATCAAATACCTGTAGTAAATCCGAATAGTAAAGAACATTTTAAGTTATTTTAAACTTTGTCCCCTACAATTTAGTGCAGTAAATTTTTAGCAGCAGAAAGCTGTACATCATTGTGTTTTTCTATTTGGAATTTTTTAAAACTTCATATATACTGGTTAGTGAAAAACAATTTTAGTTTTTGTAGCATTTTTATAATTTTACTAAAATTTTAGGGGTTTTACCATGCCAAAAGGAATTACAAAAAAACAAATGAAAAGAAAAGTTATATCTTTAGAAAGCAAAATTAAAATTTT